GTTACTAAAGGAGAATGTTTTTCATATTATATTTGTTTTGATTTTAAAGATCGTCATCATAATATATTAAGATATAGGAAATCAAAATCATTTATGTCAAATGTTTATGATGATCTTTCAAAACGAGATCCACTTTATGAAGTTTGTTCATGGATTAGTTTTGGTAATGATGCTAATTGGAAATATCAAGTATTTGTATTAGATCCACCAGCACCAATTGAATGTCCATTTACTGGTATGTGGACATTTAAACAAGTTGGACAACCAAATTCATTAATTCAAACACGAATTCGTGGTGGTGTAACACCTCGACCACGTGATCATGGTTGGTATATAACATGTGATCCTCAATATATGGTATCACAATGGACAATATGTGGTGATCAAACGAAATCAATGTTTGCTGATCGTGAATATTGTCGACAATTAGATCCATATGGAACACCAATTGGTGTTTATGAACAACCTGATTATATATATCAATGTGCTGGATATTGGAGAGAAGATTCTCGATCAGTGATGGTTACATATGATCGTGATGATCCTTATAATAATTATAAATGTTGGGTTTATGAAAGACGAGATTTAACAACAATAACATTATCAAGATCAGCTGGTTCAGCTTGTGGTTTTAATCAAACATCTGAAAGTTATAAATCTGAAGATGGTGCTGATCTTGCTATAACACTTATTGAAGCTGAAAGAATTCGTAAGTTATCTATTAAATTTGATGAAATATTATATTTATAAAATAGATGATGATTGTCCAATTCGTTATGATGATGGTAGAAATGTATTTATTGATTTAGAAGAATTTCATTTTTATTATGCCAAATCATCAATAATTAATATCAACAAATATTTTCTTATCTTTTTTACATTTATTTTATTCATTTTCTTAAATTGATTATTTGTTATTTCATTCAGATAATTCATTTTCATTCCATTTGTCAGATCAATTTTTTGTTTTTTTTTTGTACATTATGTTTCGATAATTTCTGTCAGATATTTGTCAAATTTTGTTTCTTGATAAATCAATAATTAAATATGTAGGTCAGATAGATTCTTTTGACAATTTCATAATAAAATAAAAAAAAAAAGAAAGATTTTTCTTCTTTTTTAGATAAAAAAAAATCTATGAATAATGTCGTCTTGAAAAAAAAGCATTATTATTTGATTAACGCTTAGAAGAAAAAGAATCATTTGAAAAAGATAATAAAGCTTCGTTTTTTGAATTCTTTTAGATAATAATAATAATAATACTAATGCTGATGACAAAAGCATTAATATTATTATCCATCATTTTAATAGGCAAAACAGGTTTTAAATAAATAAATAAAATTTAATTAAATAAAATAATAAAATATTTGTTATTTTATAAAATCTAGTGAAAAGTCAAATTGGATGTACATTTGATCGTCCATTATTGGGTGAATATTATTCATATGAAAATGGTCTTGAAGCTCATACATCATTAAAAGAAAATGGAGATATCGATAGACTTTTTTATCGTCGAGAATCGGGTCGTGGTGCTACTGCTAATATAATAACAGTTCTTGATAATCATGCTATTGGAGAATGTTTTAATCTTATTTGGAGAGAAAATCCTTTTGATCATGCTTCAAAACATCATTTTGAACTTATTTATAGAGATAAGTAAGTTTTTTTGTTTTTTACATTATTAATATAAAAAAAAAAGAAACAAAATCTTTTATTTTAAAGAGAAAAATCGTGTTATCAATGTTATGAACTATACAATCGAACACGAAATGTTCTTCAAATACGAACTAGTGAATGTAATGAAATAACATCAATTGTAACAAATCAAATTAATTTTCAAGATCTTTGTGCAAGTATTAATCAAGATGCTGATTTTGATACATTATTTTGTTAGTTTATATTATCATTTTTATTTTTGTTTTTTTTTATTAATTAATTATTTATTTAATTAAATAGTAAAAACATATTCAGCTGAAGAATGTCGTGCAACAATCTATGGAACATATCATTTTACATATGAATTTCGTGAAGGTGGTATTGGCATTTGTGATAATCCAATATCACGTTTAGTTTCTTGTCCGGATCCTGGAACTCCATTTGAAGCTGTTAATGAACGTTTTTGGATGACATATGGTTATTGTCGAGATCTTGTTTCATCAATTGATGCTCAACCACTTTATCAATGTTTGGGTTATTGGATTAATGATAAAGGAGATATATTTACTGGTATTGCTAATGAACGTGTTGGATCAGAACGTTGGTATGATAAATTTCGTTGTATGTTAACACGACAAGATCAACCACAATGGTTTGCTAAATCTTTATTTGCTGAATGCGCTCGACTTTATTCACCAACAGATGGACCAGAAAAAGTTATTATATCACCAATTATTCCCGAAGTTCCAACACCAACTTGTTTTTTTCCAGATAATTTTACTGGTGAATGGGTTAATACAGCTAATGTTAATGCAAGAACAATAATTAATGCTACACATATACATGAAATATCACAAGTTAATAATCGTGGTTGGTTAAGAGAAACTTATTATGTTTGTCAACAAATAAGTCGACAACAATTTTTAGTTAAAACAGTTACTAAAGGAGAATGTTTTTCATATTATATTTGTTTTGATTTTAA